TTTAGTTTTAAGTTACACCTGCATTTTTATATTCGATTATTTATATAAAGTTCGAATAAAAAAAGCCTTGATCGTCTATAAAGGAATTTTTCCAAATCAGTTGAGGAACAACACATCTGCCAGACCTTTTATTCAACTGAAATATTTTTCTGATATTTCTTCCTTCTTCTCTATAAGTTTCTTAATATTCTACTATATTTTCATTAAATAATCTGACTTATTATTCTTTAAAATACAATATTAAACAAGCAGATTGGATTAATATTGCTAATTCAATATTACTTGGAGAAACCATAGATCGGTAAAATAAAATATGAGATTATAATAAAAATCAGTCAAGATGTTTATTTAGAAAACAACGGATGTATTTTTATTTTACATCATATGTTTCAAGTAATAATGGCGAAATAATCTTAAGAGTAAAATTGTAATACAGAAATGCAAATAATTAAGTTTTTCAAAGGATAAGGATTGAAAATTTCTTTTTGGATTAAAAATATCGATTCTTTTTCAATAGATAGATAAAGTAATTTATATGATTATATGTTCAATTTGATTACAAAGAATTTCTCATTGCACATGGAAGTTATCGAAGTTACCGTGAAAGTTTCACTTTATAATTATTAAAAATTGAGTTTCATAAAAAATTGTTATTATAACAAAAACAGAATGTAACTTTCAAACGTTATTTGACAGTCTCATTATTCTCAACTACATATGAAAACTGATATAATAAATTCCTTCACAGTGAATGTCGAACAAATGCGAAATAATTTAGATATATATATATATATATATATATATAGAGAGAGAGAGAGAGAGAGAGAGAGAGAGAGAGATAGAGCGCAAGAAAGGGTGAATACAGGTTGATCAAGAGAACGAGAAAGAAGGAGAGAGTTCGTGGAAATGCGTCACTGTTGAAATTGAAAGAACGTTAATTTCGAATCGAAGCCAAAGAAAGTTCCTGCTTGACGTATAGTACGCACACCTTAAATATAGAGAAAGAATTGGTTTGCGTTTGAGGCTCAAGGTAGAAATCGCGTAGATCTTAAGAAGTCTTAATTAAAGAGTAGTTGCTTCATTGCTTATATTGAACTTTCATGTTGACTTTGACGAGTCGGTTACTTCAGAAAACTTTGAGTTAGCAAAGTTAAATTTAAATATGTGCTCGGGTATAGGAAAAGTTTGTACTCTAACTTATCATTTACAGTTAGTTACAGCTAGTTCATACACGAACGTTATATGGCCCGGCAATTGTTAGTATTTTAAATTAAATTACTCTATTATCTGCTTAATCATGGATTTTCATTTTATACACATCTTTGATTTCTTTCTTTCTTTTTTCTTTATTCTATTGTCAATTAATTCAATAAATTGAGTATTCCAGAAGAGAATCGACATTGGTCGAGCATACACGGAAAATTACGTATAATCATTCCTTATCCAACATTATAATATATTCCTAAGTATATGAGAATTCGGATAGCTTGAAATAATAAATAGCAGCCCATGTTTACTATATGCATTGAAAATCATGTAATATCATGCGACGAAGCGCATAAAGTTTCATTTAAGCACGAGAATCGATACATTTGCTTGGCGACCATTCCCTTGGCAAAAAGTACAAAGACATCATTAGATTGAGGAAATATCGAGCGGAAAAATAAGCGTCGCACTCTGACAACATTAATTGTTTTTCCACAAGGAGTATTGTCTTATCAGATCAAACTAAGCGCCTATTACATAATGTTGCGACTTAAGCTAATATATTTCATCCAAGCACCGGCTTTCCTCAAATATATTAACACTCTTGGCATTGACAACTTGAGTCGTAATCTAACATACGTTCTGTCTTAAAGGGCAACATTTTTTATTTATTTATTTATTTTATTTTATTTTATTTTTTTTTTTTTTTTTTTTTTAATCCAAGCGTAAGAGTGCCAGTCAAGGGTGAATCAATAAGGGTAGGGCGAATGCGTAGCGGCAGCATCCGCAATGCGACTAAACCGTAAGTCTGGAAAGAAGACGAAGGCAACAAACAGATGCGGAGGGAACGCGATAGGTCTATCCTTAGTTACGGATGTCTGAGCAACAAATCTGAGCACGAATATGAGCTCCTCCATGGAGTTAGGAATATTAATATCATCGGCTCGTCCCCGAAGCCGAGCGGTGAGTCCCGCTCGAGTATTTAATATCTCAGAAAATGACCGACATCTCATTTGACGGAACATCCGCCGCCTCGTTAACATGCGGCGCAAACAACTACGTCAAACCCTCGGAGCTGTACGATGAATTAGTGCAGATCCCCTTTCGAATATACACGACGTCGATCGCGAAAGCCACACGCGGTTAAAGCGGCGGAGAGATCGAGAGAGCAAACGAGGCATAAGGAGGAGGAGGAGGAGGAGGAGGAGGATGAGAGTACGCGGCGATAATGCGGCTCTCCCGGGAACAAAAAAAAAAAAAACAAACAACGGGTGTAGGGTAGACGGGGGCCGTGCGAAACGGCGCCCGACGACGCATCGCGGACGCAAGAGGCGAATGTGAAGAGGGCCAGGAAGGCACGCCTTCTAGCCTCGTTAGTCCGGATCGGAGATCTCTCGCGCCGCGTGGTATGCGTGGATACGCCACCGCGGAGGTCAGCATTGACGCAAATCCATCCACGAGTCACGTGGTGCGGGCACACGCACGCACTCACGCATTTACGCGTTCCCCACACCCACACAGCCACGCACAATGGACCGCTGCACGCGCACACTCCTCAACGCCTCGACATTCTCTTTTCTCCGTACGCGCTGCGCCTCCTTATTATATTTCACCATCTCCTTCCCGCTCATCCACCGCTCTTTCTCTCTCTCTCTCTCTCTCTCCCTATCATCTCATACGTGCGTGCGTGCGTGCGTACGTACGTACGCGCCGCTACTTTTTTCACTCAGATTTCTCCTTTTTATTCTCCTTTGTCGATCTTCGCTACTTTTATTCTCACTCGTGGGAAGGCAGCGACAGTATCTCGATCTCCCACCAATCGAACGACATTGTGGCGAGGCACATTTTTGCAGACTTTAGGCACGTAATGCGCGCCAGTGGCTTACCGCAAATAATTATTTATAATTTTCTCATATAACTTGTGCCGTATTTCTTGTTCCCTAGCCCGTCAATTGTCGAGAATTATTCTTCCTCAATATTGCTACTTTTCATTTCTCGGGCAATTTACCCTTTTTATTCTCTTTTCCTTTTCGTTAATTGTACAGCTGCAGATTAATCGACAAGATCGATTGATAAATAATGAAAATGGCTATTAATTTGGATAAATCTGTGTATCCGTATTCGATGGATTCTATACTTGGGGAATCAATTCTTGCGACCTAAGTACGGTGTATAGTGTGCATATCGCGATAACAAATAATATCGTGCAATTTCTTTGATGTCGCGAGAAAAAAGGAAAGGTAACTGCACGAATACGTTGGCAATTTACCGACTGTACTTTGTACAAGATGTTTGACATGAAAAATACATTGGGAGCTTTAATGAATTTGGCGATGACTTAACGACGTAAAATGATCTGTAAATTAGCAAAAAAATACTGAATTCGGCGTGTCCAATGCATCTCGATTATTTTGCTATTTGTAAATCCATACGCTATACTTAATTAATAAACATTTACGAATTCTCCATAGTAGTTTAATCTTGTCGTCGCGTTCAATCAAAAATATTATGCAATTGGTTTGCAAACACACTTAAGAGAGCCATTAACATGCATCGTCATTTAAATGCCGTGACACGATTATTTTTACATAATAATACTTATTATGTATTTTAAATATTGCCGCTGTGTAAACACATATCATTCTTCGTAATATTTCAATCGTTTCTTTACGCACGCAACTAATAAATTAATCATTCGAACCCCCTCCCCCCAACCCCACCCACCCAAACCCAAAACTTTCCACCCACTACTCGCTCAACGCTTTTCCCTCTAGTTGAAATATTATTATTTCCCGACTTATAATTAATTACCATCAACTATGCTTTCTCTCTCCACCGCTTTACCGCCTTTTCGTCAAAGAATAAAGAATACACATAAGCAACGCGTACAAATTAGCTCTTTCACCACGATATAATCAAGAGGAGCGGTGGGGGTCGTGCATAATTAATGCTCAGCTCATAATTCGTTGAAGCCAACCATCTGATCCCAAGGACTTTATAACGAACCGCTTATATCCTCAAAGCATTTACGAGCCTTGTCAAATGCCTCGTATTAGACCAGTGCAAATAGACTTAAAGTAAGCCACCCGAAGCAGCAGCCTCACAGCAGCCATCGATTAAAGATTAATCCGTTGATTCGTGGCTGGATGGCGGCGGTTCAAGCTTAAATAATCTCGGCACCCCGACTCGTCCGTAGCGTGTCGTCCTCGCTCGCGCTGCGTTTGCAATGGCTAATACCCAGGGCTTGGGAAATGCGCCCGAGGAGGGCTGCGATGCCAATTCGTTATTCAATCGGTTTTGTTAAGTGGGCGAGCGAGCGACCGTCGGGGCCAATCCTTGCTCGATCAAGTCGACCGTTAAACGGCGCACGACTCGCATTTTCCCTAAAATCCCATGACGGGAGGCTAGATTTTGGTCCAACGTATCATTGCCTTATTGGCCGTCCGGCCGTCTCGCAGCATATATAATTAATATAATTCCTGGATTATTATTGTCGAATGCGCGGTAGATCCGCGGTTAATCCATTTGTTGTGGTTCTCGTCTTAAATTAACTGAGCCGCGTGCCTTGTATCGGGATTTGATCGGTAAGAATCTACATCTCATCAAATTATAACATCAATTGTTTATTTAAAAATATTCATAATTTACATGGTTATTTATCATAAAATACTCATCTATAATACAAATTTTCAAGTATTATCGTAACAAATACTTGACGAATAAAAAAATCTTACTTTATGCAATTTAATTAATTACAATAATTTAATGAATAATTATTTTGCAATTCAGTCTGATATTTCGTATAATCATGTACAAAAATTATATAATGTCCTATATATCTACAAGTACAGTTTATTACAATTTAACGGATTCAAATTACAAAAAGCGAGCGCATCGCAGCATTTCCCGACACGAATAAACGAATCGAGAAGAATTCAATAATGACCTCAGAACTCATCGAGGCGCAATAATTTGTAGTAAATATTCCAACATTTTGACTAAATCGCCCTCTTGCATCCCATCACCCGACGGCAATTGCAAAGTTATCCTACTGATAGCGGCTTGAAGGTAATGTGGAAATCCAGCAGTGCGAGCAATTAATTTTCCTTTCTGATTGTTACCAATTAAAGACCAGAGCGTTGAGCCAACCACTTCAATATCGGTAATGGAGCCTTCTTTTAGCGATGTCAGCATCATATTTAGAAAATCAGCTGCAATAATAATAATGATATAATGATAATTCTTGAATTTTTTCTCACATCATCATGGTAAGTATAATAAAAATTTGATTTTTTTTTTTGCCATATTTAAATACTTAATGGTTACATTTTTTTTTCTATTTTTTTTTTTTTTTTTTTTTGTTACAAATAATTCAATTAAATAAGTACTTTCATAAATAATCAACTTTAATTAATAATTAAAACATTTACATACAGACTCAATACAATTTTAATATTTACGACTTTTAGATAAAAAGAATAAGATTGTATAATAAATATTTATAGATTCATTCTTGGATTTAATTTTTTTTTGTTTTTTTTTTGTTTTTTTTGTTTTGTTTTTGTTTTAACGGATTCAATTCAACGTACATTTGATTTCATTTACTTACCAGAGCCTAATAGTCTAGGTCGATTAGCTCCGTTAAATGCTAAATTTCGTAAAACTGAGGTAGCGAAAAGCCTTGTTGTGCCGGATGATAGTCTAGCTAAATTTATAAGCACTTCTAAACTGTCTGTAGCCTAAAATAAAAGCCATTGATTAAATATCTAAATTAATCTATATATTAATTTTACATTTAACTAATTTTAACAATAAATATTTGATAATTACAGCCAAATAAAAGAAAAACCAGTTGATGAACGGCATTATTGAAGGAATTTGTAGGATAAATAAATTAAATTAGTAAATATAATTAAATAAGTAGAAGAAAATTTTAGTCTGTCAAACGTCGCTTATTAAATTATTGTTAAGACTATATAATTTTTATTAATATTGTCGTTTGAATTCATAAAAATATATAATAAAAATATAATTGTAATGTCGTAATGTATTGTAATGATAATGTTAATTCAGAAAAGTTTAGGAATACAATTCATTTCACTCTATGTACTAAACTTTATTTAATTGCATAATTGCATATTTAAGTATAAAACAAAGTAAATAAGTATAAATAAATAAAGATTTATTATATAAAAAATAAAATAACATGCACATTAATGGCATTAAACTAATGGAAAATTATTCTAATTCTAAAATTACTATAGATGTTCACTAGTCTTATAACTAATTATTATTGTTATTATTATTATTATTATTGTTGTTGTTGTTGTTGTTGTTGTTGTTGTTGTTTTTTGAATAATTTTTATATTTTTACAATTATATTAATAAACCTATGAAGAGTTAATTACAATTTTGGAGAACGTGGTATTTGAAAATAATATGGGCATTTGAAATACAATTTTCAAAAATATTAGAAATTTAAATACTTTTAAAAAAAATTGTTCAAAATGGTTTTGAATGTACTTAATTACGTAGAAGAATATTAATTTAATAAAATCTATTTCCTATTGAAAAGAAACCTTTTCATTTACAAATAATTTAATAACAAATGATGATATGATGATTAAAAACGAAAAATTTAAATGTCTCGATTTCATTATAATTTAATTTAAACGTGTTATTAACAGTAATTAATATTGGTCAAACAAAAAATCTCCGATACCATTTGTAATATAAACAAAATTAACAAATTTCCTTACCTTAGAGACAGACAATTGTCCTTCATCATAAAAAGTAAAGTCTATCAAAAATTCCAAGCAATAAATTTCTACTATCTGCCAAAGTTTTGTTCTCTTTGTCGTAGAAGGATGAATTTTCGTAAAAAATTGCAAAAGATTACTCTGTAATTAATTGGAATTTAAAATTAAAAAATGCACATAATACTGACAAAATTATATATTATTCAAGAATAATAGAATTATTATATAACTGTCATTAATTTAAAATGTATTTTATCCAAATTTTAAAAGATTTTATGCCGTAAAATTAATTATTGTAAATTAATAAAATAATAATCATTAAATATTTACAATCTCGAACATTATCGGATTAAAAATTACACATTCGTTTTAGTTATTTATTATACACATTCGTTAATTATTTCGTAGGACGAGTTATAGTTATTACCTTCGAGATCACAACACGACACTCGTGATTATGTATAGCATTACGTAGTATGTGAAATGAGAAATTCAATTTTTGACAATCACCCCCGCGACTGATCGTATCAATCTCTTTCATGACTAATTGCACAATAACGTGTATCAGGGCAATGGAATTCGGTGTTTTTCTAAGACCCACTCCTGGTGTTACGGTTGTCAGAGACAAAGAATGTGACGCTTTAAATGTAAAAACAAACATGCTTAAAACTTATACATAATGTTGATTTGTTAACAGTTAAATTTTCGAAATATATATTTGAAACAGTTTTTTTTCTTCTTTTTTTTTTTTACAACTGAAAAATGATTGTGTTTGCATTAATACTTCTGACATTTATTCGGTGAACATCGTGAATTGAAAATAATATCATTATTAATGTACAATAAATTATATCAATAATCTTCACGATTAAGTAGACTGTAATTGCATTAGGAAATATGAAAAAAAAAAAAAAAATCATTTTCATTGTATTTATTCTTTCCTTTACAAATAATAGAATTATTATTTTTTTTTCATTCAGAATGCAATTTATGATGTTTTAATATTGCTAATAATCTAATAATGCTATTGATTATCTATAACTGCATATATATCCCATATAAATCGTTATTTAATTGTTTGAGCGCCCAAGGAATGCAATAAATATTTCATTAGAAATTAGAAATTATTATAATAAAAAATTATTGCTAATTCAAAAGTTCAATTAAGAAACAAAAGAAAATAGTGTAGTAATATATCAATTACAATTTATTGTTTAAATTTTTACCTTCTAAACAATGAGAAGTAAATGTTGATATTAATTTTAAACTAGTGATCAAGACTTTTTTACTCATAGATGTATGGACCCATAACTTATGAATGATATCAGCCAATCCCTCTTTAGCAAAAATTTGCTTTGTTTCATTACAATCATATAAAAAATTCATTATTAATATGTAAATCGAGTCCAGCTCTTGCAACAATGGATGAGTCTGTAAAAATATTAATATTTATTTGTTATAGCTATTAAAAAGATTATACAAAGTTTACGATTTTTTGAGCTAACTAACATTTTAAAATAAATAAATACTAATCAGAAACAATAGTTATAATAAAGCGATTAAAGACTACAGGACGATGGAGAAAGAATATGGATTTAGTTTCAAATTAATTTATCATTACCTTTCGACTACTTTGAGATTTATACGTTTGAATTGGAATTGCATTAACTTTAATGTACAATTCTTTTAAAAGTAACAAACACGTAGTTGGAAATTTTTCTAAGATTGCACATTTTTTTGCTTCCGTCGATATGCAGAGTAAATTTGTAAGTGCGATCGTTATAACATCTTTGTCATTTGATTGCTTACATTTTTTCGAAGATTTAGCATAGGCATGGGCTATAAATAGATTTATTAATACTTTAGACATGTCAAATCCAATATACAGTTCATCACTTGTAGCAACATTTTTGTTTAGATTTGTAGGTTTTTCGATCGATTTCGCACCGCTTACATTTTTCAATGAATTTATTCGAAAATCGTCGTTCCAATATTCATCTGATTCAACCATTTGTTTCGTATCTAATACGCATTTCAATAATGTAGTTTTATTATCTTCGCATTCTTTTTGCATTTCTTGAGATAAGAGTAATGCCAGAAAATTAAGAGCACTCATTCCAAAGTCAGAATTCGAACTCTTTACAATGCTGAAAATTGTTTTAATGAAAAATTCAGTCTGACATGTTTCCAAGGCTGCTTGCATTGGCTCAAAATGTTGATTCTCAGTTATGGACAACGATACCAAAAAATTAAAGATTTCAGTACATAAACGATTGCGCAAATAAAGTAATCTAGGCGCGTTGATAACTGTAAATGAAGAGATCGTTATATAAAGTTTCTTCATACCTGTAAAAAAGTTGCAAAACAATACTTACAATATAAATCCTTGTTTATCATTCTAAATAAATGACAAATAAAGTCAGAGGAAAAAGTAACTATCGATGCAAAATCAGGACTATGAATAATGCAATTTGAAAGTACAGTGCATAAATTGGCATACATCTCTAATACATTGCTATAATGTTCTAAATTACATTCTCCAGCGATTGTTTTAGGAATTTCACAGAAACAGCTGAATTTATAAAATTTTCTTAATAATATTTATAAAAAGAGAAGTAATTTGCATAGCTTACCCAATTATATATTTATGTAGTGAATGTTCAAACATTTCGTGTATAACTTCTTGTTCCCCAATTTCAATTAAATTATTCATTAATGAGCATAAAGCTGAAATTAAGGTCGGAGTACTTATAAATTGCATATGGTCTTCGTTATCGGTCATATCAGAATTTCTGGCAGAACCTGAAAATAAATTTAATAATATTGACATTTCGACTCTATAAATGTGTATTATTAATTAATAATTTCTTCTCCAACTATATTTATATATATATATATATATATATATATATATATATTAATGAATTAATAATAGAAATTTTTTAATAATCTGTGTTATGTGCTTGAAAAAAAAAATCTAAAATTCAACTGAAAATAATTGCTTACATCTTTGAAAATCATCGCCACAATTATATAAATAATAAATGGTCTTTGGCACCATAGAAATAGATGTAATTGTACGGCTACTTGTTACTGATTGTGTTTGGATTCCTTCGGATTCTGAACTTTCAGAAAGATCGGGATCTAAAGTTGCTTGCATATAACAATTAGAGCACATAATAGCAATTTCATGGTAAACATTATGTTCTTTAACATATGATAATATTGCTCTAGGTTTTAGTGCATCAACCTAAAATAGAAGAAAAATGAATTTGGAAAAGTGATTTTTGATGAAACTATACTATTAAACTTTAGAAATAATCCATTGAATCCATGTATTTAGAAAGCTTTCTCGTTTCTTATATCCTTTACGTCACTTTACGATTACACGTTTTTACATAATTCATTCTTTTATTAAGACGTCTATTAATTAAAATACTTTCAGCAATTTAATATTTATTAATAAATTTATTATTTAAAATGTAAACTGCAACATTAATAAAAATATTATGTTATACTTATTAGTATATTATAATTTGAATGCAATATTTATTGAGTTACTTTTACAAGCAATAGTTAACAAGTAGTATATTATATAAAAAATTTAGAAAGTCAATAATAAAGATTTATGTTTATTGTAATGACTAGGGAGGATTTAAAAGCCAAGAAAAATAAATTTTTCCCCATGCAACAGCTTACGTATTGAAAGATTATTGTATTGCAATTTTTAACTAGATTGCTCATTGCTAGGCAAGCCTCCTCTTTGACAATGCACGATTCCTCCTGGGCGGTTATAAAATAAAGTAACGAATGACATAATTCGCTTGGACATAAATCAATTCCATTTAGTAGTTGTACCGCTGTGTGAGGTCCACAAGTCAAATTTGCTAATAATTGCAATGCCGAGGCACGCACCAGTGGATCACGACTTCTCCACAGCGCTGGTAACCAGCTCAATAGCTGACCTTCGTCGTACCAAAATTTCATCCACAACTGAAGGAAATATCGAAGAATTAATGAAATTTTTTGTTTGAAAATAACAAAAATTATTAGAAATCTTGTAAATAACAATATTAATTCTAAAACATAATCAGTATGAAAATTTTAGGTTCATACGATTAAATAACTATTTTAACAAATGATACCTACATTTTTGCTTAAGTGTATTTGCATTTGATGTAATATATGATTTAAACATATTATACAATCTCTAGTGATCGTTAAGCCCATAAAACTAATCGTCCCTTCCCGATGAAACGATAAGATGAGCTCAATCAAAGCATTTCCAATGGATATAAGTGTATCGTCATTATTTTTCCATTGACATTTTCCAATTACATGAGTTAGCGTTGATAATACCCAATCCAAAAATGCTAAAATATTCAAATACGTGTATTACATCTTCTTTTTTCTCCCTCATATAAATAGTAATTTCATGCAATTTCTCTAATACTTAATATAATTATGTATGCAATAATTAATAAAAACTTTTTATTTTTATATCACCTAGATTATAATATTCCCCGTAGAATAAGTTAGAAACTGCAAATTCAACAAAACTGATCCAAGAAGATTTTGTTTCATCATTTTCTGGCTCATCGATCATTGAGCATGCACGTGCAAGTTTAAATACAGATTGATGAATATCATCGCTACCCTCTTCGGATATATGTAACCATTCCCCTAACGATTTCATCATATTTTTCACAGTCTTACAAAGCCAGATGCTTTCTTGTAGTATTAAAAGATATAAATTTAATAAATGTAATTTTATTAATTAGAATATTAAGATTTTAGTCCAAAGTCAATTATTTACCAGTATTCGCTAACTTAACATAAAAATGAAGAAAATTAAGAACATTGACAAATAATTCATGATCTTCTTTATTGGTTGGGGAAGACTGCAAAAAACGCTCAAAAGTATTTGCCCATGGAAGTTGTAGAATTCTTTTTAAATGTTCGTTGCTGAGTAAATTACATAACTTCAAATAGCTGAAATGTATAATGTGTCTTTAATAATAATTATTGCCATAATATTTCATTTGTATATGGTTATTTATTACATTACTAGGTAATCTATTGCACATGTTACTGCACTATGAGTAATAGAATTTTGAATGTTAAAGATCTGTTGTTGTGAACAATAATGGAGCGAAGTGTAAGTAATGCAAGCAAATTCAGTCTCTCTGATCATCAAGTTCTCATTAATCATAGGATCATTGATATCTTTCCATTTTTTCCACAATATCTTCTGCCCACCGTTCCATTCCCAGGCCCAATACTGTCTAATAAAGGTTATAACAATTGGATTGCTTCTATGTAAAACTAAAATGTACACATATACGTGTATTTAAAGTAATAGTCAAACACATTTATTGTTGAAAATAATTATTGAAATTATACTTGAAACATCTGATCGGCTATTCAAACTTGTTTTCCAATGCGCCTTGCAGGTAAATGGAAGCCTCATATTAATTGTTATTAAATATGGTAAAGAAATATTGTACGGATTATCCGTGCTTCTTTCTGTAAGTTTCATAATATATCCGTTATAAAGTAATAGAATAAAGAGATGTGCAGCATCGATCTTTACGCATTCATTATTGGGATAAAGAAACAGACCTAAAAGCAATAAACAAATTATATTTTATGAATTAAACAAAATTCGTGTTTATTTATAAAGGTTATTATTTAATTATAGATAACGTTACTTCTCAGTATATTATAATAAACATCTAATCGATTTGATAAGTCAATCCTTATTGAATACTCAGAAGATGCAAGTAGTTTCAAAATTGTTATAATCGGTATCACGGAATCTGGATAATTGACAAAGTCTTTTTCAATCTGAAAATTTGAAAAAATTGATTTTTCTAAATACAGTAGAGTTTTTAATGGTTAAAAACGTCTATGTTAAAAATAAATAACTTTATTTACCAAAGCTTTTGAAAAAATATCCAATATTAATTCCAAACCATTTTCTGAAATAAATAATTTATGTAATGACGAATCAGATAACATTACACTAACTTGCACCAATGCCGATTTCTTCATTTTTGGATCAATACTTGCTGATTGTAACATTTCAAGTACAGATATCAAAGCACTTTTCTATAAAATTTATAAATATTAGATTAAATTATATTAAATTACTTTCTCAATTAGTATTTAAAGAATAAGTGACGCTGAATATGTTAAAATAAATAACCTGATAATTCCCTTCAGATCGCTTAGCAGATGTTTGCTTATCGAATACACAAACGGAGCCAAGTGGAAGACCATGTAGTGACGTTAAGCGAGGCAATTTCTGAGCTGAATTTTGTTCTTGTGCAAGTAGCCAAAGCAATCGACATAACGCTTCATCTCTTATGTCACTAATAGGAGAGAATAAGAGCCTAATATTACCTTTTAAAACCTGTGTAATTATAATCGATTTAAGTAAGGTAACATTTTTTTAATTTCAAATTTAAAACATTGCATTAAGAAAAGTATTTGATACAATTAGTAGTTATGTTTCATTATGAATTAAAAGTTAAAAAAAAATATTAATATTCAAATTTCAGATTAATCCATCGATCATATTATTTCTTAACTTCTATACACGTAAAACTAAGATTGAATATATAAATATACATACATACATACATACATACATGCATACATACATACATACATACATACATACATACATACATACATATATATATATTCGACTACTTAGTATGAATGTTTTTTAATAAATATAATTTTCACCTCTATAAATGGAATATTTATGTTAGAGTAAACATCGGGATCTAACATTTTTGTAATACATTTTCCTAAAGAAGATGCAGGATGAGCAAGACATTGTAGTAGAGGCAAAGCTGGAATTAATGCCTCTAAAAATTGTAACCATCCAGCTTCAGTCAATTGTACTTTACCATTTAATAAAAATAGTAATATATCTTCTGCCATACTTTTTATCTAAAAATTAAGGAGAAGGCATTATGATGCGCAGGTGAATTGTTAAATTTAACAAAACTGTTAATTTATACGTTCCATGTTATACCTTTCCATTTTCATTTGTAGTTCCATGGCAAATAATTTCAGTCAACACAGAAGGTTCCAATAAAAACATTAGATTTTTCCAATTATGTCTATTATTATTATCAGTATCTAAAATTGTCCTGACTAATGTATAACACTCTGTATAAGTTGCTTCTTGTATATCATCATCATTATGTGCAAATAATGAGAGTAGCATTTTTGTTATAATATCTTTATTTTCCTCGTTCAATTGATATCTTTCAAAAAAAAAAAAAAAAAAAAAAAAAAAAAAAAAAATGTAAATAGTTTTATAATTCATTAATTACCTTGCAATACGATAGATATAATTACAATAATTTTAAATCGTGCAACTTACTCGTTCTTATTTTGTGCTAAACCGATAAATTTTTTAATTAACATGAAATTTTTATGATAAAGTAAACTAAGCTTTGATGAATAAATTGCTTTTAATTGTTCAGAATATGAGTATGTTTTTAAATCTTTCATTAGTGAAATAGCAGCTTTCATTGATTTAGTTACTAACCGAGTTTCATCTAATAATTTAATTGCTTCGCATTCTTGTGTTCCATGAAATTTCTAAAGCGAAATATAAAAATCACTTATGATTAAATAATATATATATATATATATATATATTTGTGTAATTAAGTTGAATAATTATTATATTATTAATGTTACCCTAGCATATTCCTGCAATGTAATATGCAATGATGTATATAATAAATAAATAGGAGCATCCATAATAGCTGTACAAATAGACAATTTCATTTTCTTTGGTATCACTTGGTCAGCCAATTCTAACGGTATTATATTACTCATCAATTTAACTGATATCCATAAAAAATACATATAAGTAATCCTATAATAATCAATACTGCTAAACTGTCCAAAATAATCTATAATTTCACTCAACAATTCAAATAAAGTTTTAACATTTTGATGAATTTTTAATGCGATATTGTCGGTGCAAAACCAAACAGTTGGCATTACACTTGTAATTAATAGCTGTATAAGTTCAAAAACTGAATCGGCGATATATCTAACTAATTTTAGTGGACAATTCGTATCATTTGGAATGCTTAATAATTTAAGAACATTTATTAAAGTTTCTGTACAGTAATATGGTATATACATCTGCTGCAGTCGTAGTATTGAATCATCAGCATTGTCTATTAAACCAAGACTTCTGTTATTTGATCTCTGAAAAATTTCATGAACCGTAATAATTTGCATAGTCAATATTTTTTTTATTAAAATTACTAAAAATATGTCTATACTCTTATAGATGCTTGATATTGATGATAATTTTGATCAGGAAGTTCACCTTCCGGACTATCTCTCTCTTGCGATAACGCACAACCCTCGCTTTCCAGATTTCTTGCCAATATCTGTACATAATTACAAGATAATTTTATTTAATTTATAAAAAATATATTAATATAAATAATTTTTCACGTATATTACCTTTTGTGTTTTATGCGCTATACCAGGATCACAATAATAATAGATTCTAAATCTAAGAGAACGTGTGAGTTTGTACAGGGTCTTTATTATGGTTATAATTAACTTTTCTGATTCGGAATTATACTCATTTTTATATGACTGTAGAAGACTTAATAAAATCTAATAAAATGTATTTTAGTTAAATATTGAATCTTATTCGTGTTTCATGCTATAGTAATTAAATAATTTTAATTTTACGTTAACGGTGGTAGGTCTCTGAAGAAAAACTTCGGCAGGAAAATCTTGTAACATTATGTTTGTAATGAATTGGCAACTTTGCATTTTTACAGCAATATCTATCGAATTATTTAATGAATCTTCTAATGTCGAGAGAACACCTTTATCAGACGAAGCTAATATTTGCCAAGGCATTATAAGCCATTTCACACTGCTCTCTGATCTCTTTGATATTATAGGATCTTCCCCATTATTCACACTCAATTCGAATGGTACGGAACTAAACAGCATTCATGTTTTTAAACAACTAAAAAAGGTCATTTTTGACTGTTCAAAATATATAAATAATTACACATATACCTATTTAATGGAGACATAGTGGTGGAGATAGTACTTGCTTCGATGGGCTCATTTTGGTATTGATTTTTATAATTACTTTCAGAAGTTTCGTACGCTGTTGCAGATATTCCCTGTAAATATTTTTCACATCGTACCAATTGAAATAATATTAAAATTTATAAAAAAAAAAAAAAAAAAAAAAAAAAAAAAAAATTACAATAGATACCATAAAATTTTCTATATATTTCTCAGGATTTGAGGCAATTTTTTCCATTAAATTCAATTTACCGTGCCATTTGGAATTTAATTTTGCCTTTAAATCACGTAATTCATTTTGAAATCTTGTTCTACCAAAGGAATTTAAATAACTGCCGCTATCATACTAAAAAAAATTTGTTACATAATTAAATATATCCAAATTAATTATAAATAAATTAAATGATTAATTTACCTTCATCAGTTTTATTAATAAATCTAATACTTTTTCTTCTTCGATAACTGGCTCGATAGAGAACCATTTAAAAAGCTTGAGAAACAGATCCTTTTTGACAGCATTGCAATCACACTCAAAACCAAGATGAAACTTAGATATTACATTTTCCAAAGCTCTTAGACGAATTTCACTAATCGTATGATCTTCAAGAAAATATATTATAACTTTAGCTAATGTTAAATTTATTAGAATTTAAAAACAAATCAAGATAAGTATTATGCTAGCTAACCAAACTTAAGTGTAATGAAATATAAAATAATTAATAACGCTATGCATACAATTTAATAATGCTGAATATACCTAGTTTTTTTGTATGGGCCGTTGATATAGTGGATAAAATAGACATTTTTTTTAGAAAAAAAATTATTCGACATTAAGGTTAAAACTAAGGCATTTCTGCTATTGAAAAAAATTTGATTACGATTATCGGAAAATTCAAAACAATCATATATTAAAAGCACCGTAACGCGCACATTGATAAAATTAATTGAGGGCTTGGGTTTATAACATAAAAATTAATTATCCCATTGACTATAGAAACACTGTACCCGGTCGAACAATTTTAATTATTCCGTGAATGCGTTTTCCCGCGTTGTCGACTCCTCCAAACGAAAGGATATTTCGTTTTACATTGCGCATGCGCATACGATTACTGTCATCGTTCATTTTCGTAAAAAGCGGAGGCATTTTATGTTAACGGACGACTCGCGATCTCAAGATAACATTTATTACACGACCCACTGGTGAAAAATCACGTGCATTATGTGCATTATAAAGATACAAGTACCGAAGTTTACCGTGACATGAAAGTTCAAAAAATTTTAGCCTCGACTACCAGTTGGTTGGCATTCAGATCCCACCTCTTCTGTATTTATTAAAACCCCCGGGAGACGAAGAAAGTATAGTTATACACAGTAGTTGCACAAGGTGGTCCTCCGTACTTTCCTTCCCTCCACTTCAAATTATTACACAAGTACACCGATTACTTGCCACCCCCGCCCGCTGCGTCCCTCCCCACGCCACCCTTTCAATTAAGGAAATGTCATTCGATCGCTAAAAAATTCCACATATCGTACATTACGCGTTTCACTAAAAGACAATTCAGAATTTTTAATTAATCGAGTCGATAATTTAGGGAAGATTTTTCCGCATAATACAGGCAAATTGATTATAATATCTTAAGATTTTGTAACGGACTCAAATTAAAGTAATATTCGAAAAAATACTTTAAAAATCTTCTGTAACGAAAGCCGTCTTTTAGCCTCAAAAAAAAAAAAAAAAAAAAAAAGGAAAAAAAAAGGAAAAAAAAATAGAAAATTTAAAGATAATAATAATGAAAATTTTTTGCTCTATTAAATGATAAGGATTGGATTTAATTTTAATAATTTAAGGTATCGCTTTTAAACTAAATAAATATTTAAAATAATAAACTTTGACGAATATGTTGGTCAGTAGGCATTAATTAATAATATTTTGTCGATGTAAATTGAAATATTAAAAGCCTTACTTTTACTAGTTTATTGCAAGTCAAATCAAATTATAAAAAAAAAAGAAAAAAAAAAAAGAAAAAAAAAAATGCGCTAACAATTTTTTATTAATGAATTTACACAAAAAAGTTTCTCATGAAAGTGGAATAAGAATTTTTCATCTAGTGTATTTCAAATGAAAATAAGGAATTTGAGAAAAAGTAAGTAACGTACTTTAAAAATTCAAAAAAATAATAATTTCTCAATAAAAAAAAAAAACATCCAACATTTGGAAACGAACCAGAAATGAAGGAAAGGAGTGTAATTTGTAATTTTATATTAAAAGTAGTGTAAAAATGTAAAAATGTATTAGGGTGTCGAGGATAGAAATGTGATGAGTAATAGAAATAATAGAAAAGTTCATCAAAACGCAATATTTATTTATTTATTTGTTTGTCATGTATAATTATTGCTGGGAATCTCGTGATCGTGCATGACGCAGTGATGCTCGATTGAAAATCCAGGCGATAATTATGATTTTTATATTATACACAGTATTTGTATTTTTTTTTTTTTTTTTTTTTTTTTTTTTTTTTTTTTTTTTTTTTTTTGCTAAACATACACATCGTCATTGAAGGGAAATCGAACAATTGAACCACAATAAAACGGGCGCTGAACCACAATAATAAGGCGAGCGGCGGATTTCTCTTAAAGAATAATCATTTGCGAACTCCAGTCAGAAAGGTATTTTTAATATTCAGAATCGATGAAAATTTTTGCATGGCGAGCTCGTGCGCCAATTCTGGTAAATATAAAATACGTGACATATTCATAAGTGCGATCATACTCGTTCGAAAGCCTACTCACTTTTTAAATTATGTTGTTTTTTTTTTTTTTTTTTTTTTTTTTATTTTTTTTTTTTAGCTATTTTATACACTTATATGGCGCACGCACTCACTCATAAAATGTTTTGTTAACATTGACAATACACATGTACGTATATTATTTAACTGCATAAAAATGTACAAAACAGATTTATTATATCACTATGCGTGATAATAATATGACACCCAATGTATGTATAAGTTGAATATTTTCTATTTAGTTATTACTATAATTTGTCGTCTACATCACTTTTCCGCACTTACTGGTTACAATAAATTTTCCAATATTTAAATTTTTTTTTTTTTTTTTTTTTTTATTTCTTACGAATAAAGAATCCAAGTATTTTAAACTTGGCTAGTCAATAAGTCTATATAATTTATCAATTTATCTCGCAAACGAAATTATAATTGATCAAATATCATAATTATTCTAGGTTTCTCATTATCTTTTTAAACTATATGTACTATTTTCTCCTGAACATTGTTAAGCAATATAAAAGTATAACAATTATTTGTAGTAAGAAAAACAAAACATCTATCTGCATTCTTCATCTACATTATTATTATTATTATTATTATTATTATTATCGTTCATTCATTCATTCATTCATTCGATTTAATGAACAACAATGTGATAGTTAATTTTATCAAGTTCTCGTGGAGATACATTTTATCTTCAGACAAGATTAGAGAAAAATAATGGCAATAAGTCTAATTGACTAGAATGATTAGGAACAGAAGGTGATTTGCTCGTATCCCAATCTAATTATTGCGCAGAACTAATCTTTGGCGCGTTCGATGGTGCATTCTGAAAATTCGCTTTACAAAAGACAAAGCGACACTACTCATTCGCGTTGCATTGAGTCGAGACGAATGCAGTGTCGTAAAATGCACACACACACACACTGCAAAAGAATAAATCTTAATAAAGTCGTCGTTGTTGTTGTTCTTTGTGTGCTTCAACTTGAGAATCATATTTTATCTATATTGCTTGATATTTATCATTGTACCAAGTACGGACCTACTGTGTATAAATTATTATTTTCTTACTACCTGATTTATCTTCTGAATATCCTGCAAATAAAAAACAAAAACAAAACAAAAAATAACGATTAAGAATATCGATTTATAAATTACCAATTTTCCGCTCAACTATAAAACAAATAATCGCTGTCACTTTTTTTTCTCTTGTAACATGACAACCGTATATATATATATATATTTTTATGATTCCGAACGTTATATTAAGTAAATATTAGCCATAAAAATGTTACGATTTATAATAAAGAGAGTTAAAATAAAGGATATTTCATAATTTTATAACCTTAAATAACGTTGTAATATTGGCTTACGATGCTTTAAATTTACGACGATGGTCACAAATTCTTCTTTGTTTTTTTTTTTTTTTTTTCGTTTTGCAACTTTTGTTGAGAATGATTATTGCGCATGAAGTATAGTTTCACAAAAATCCACACATAATTAGTAATATTATACAGACATCGACAGTGATTCGAAGTACATGTAGATATTTATTCTCGATATTTCGTCAAAATTGCACACGATAAGATAATTGCGATTGGTAAATTTGCCAATCCAAACGTTTATCATCAAAAACGAAAGAATAGAACAAAAAAAAAAAAAAAAAAAAAAAAAAACAACCACAAAAAAAAAGAAGAAAGAAAAAGAAGATTGACATAAGATCGTTTGATAATAATTCAAAGGGCCAGCATTCCTTTTCAATGTTTAATTAAGAAAGGATGAATTCTATCGAGGGATCGATAATTGCAAATGAAGCCCTATTAAAACGCCACCAGATTTGCTTATCGACTGAAGTCTATGGGAAGTAACCGGAGGCGGAATTTGCCACGTAAACGCATAACACTGCGTGTTCAGGTAAAACTGATTAACGCGCGACCCTTACGCGATGGGTTTGCACTTCTAATCATCAACTAACTGACAAATGCACGCGAGGGACGCCTGTATAATGTCAATAGCAATCGAGCCTCGCCTATGCTTTCATAGTTATTGGTTTATTTATGCCCGGAGGCTCTTTCTCAAAGATTGGCCGAATTTTATTATTATACAAGCGTCCGTCCATTTTTCTCAGTTGTGGCAAATATTTCAAACGAAATATATCGATTTTACGTAATGTAGCTTAGTATGAAATTTTTATCGCGACAAATTTGCTGAGCTGCTATAGCGTGATTTCATTTTAAAGTTCGTTAGAATTACTTGCCGATGATAAGACTGTATTAATTTTGAATATGTAAGGATTAAGTCATAACTATGGATTTTTATTTTTGCGATAAATATAGAGCTTGGTAAGGTAAATTTTACCTAATGAAAATAGTTATATGGACATATATATATATATATATAATTTCTTTTTTCAAAACGATTCTTCAAATACCGATGATTCGTCGTTTTTCGAAAGTAATTGTATGTTATTCGCGTATTGAATGTTGTTTAATATTTTCAAAAAGAACTTTTAAAAAGAATCGCTGTTCCATTAAATGCATACTTTTACATTAGTGAGAGTAAAAAATTGAAGTTTTAATATTCTAGCGATGTAATTACAATTTAGTTATACAAAAAAAGAAGGAAAAAAAAAAGAGAAAAAAAAATTAAACAAAATAATAAAAATTTTATATTTATTTTGCTACTGCTTTTAATCAATTCTTGTTGTATCCAATCAGTTATTGCAAAACAATGTTAATTACATTTTTCTAATGTATATGAAAATGTACCATATAACATTCTCCCTCGGTATTCTTATAGTAAATATCAACAGTTAATAAAAAAATTTAATTCGTTATATTGTACTATTATTCGTAGCGTTTAATATTAATTACATATATTCGCTCAAGTTAAGGAAATGAACTCGATTACTTAATTATTCGTTCGAAATTTCAGAATACATAATTTTGAGAAATTTTGAAATTCATAAAACTTCAAACGGTTTCAATTATTACTGTGGGCAAATTATTTTTGAGAGTATAATTGAATATTTCCATGCAGTTATTTTGCACATTGTTGAATCGTC